TGGGCCAAGCAACACGACAGCAACCTCTGTCCCCACCAATGGGCGCAGGCACATGTGCAGTGTGTAAACTCGTCTAAGGCAAGCTGTTCTCAGACACGCACATCCACACACAGAGACTCACGGGCAGACCTGCACGTGCCCGCAAAGCACAAAGCACTAATCCCGCCGGAGTTCCCAGTCACAGCGGTCTGTCAGTCTGGGAAGCACAGATACAGTTTCGCTGGGAGGGAGGCCTGCTGTGCGCTCCACAGGCTCCGCAATCACCGGAAAGGCCTGGGATTCGGGAGAAAGGAATTTCAAATTGAGGATGATGGGAAACGGCCTTGGGGGGAGGGGGGCTCCGGCTTTAGCAGGGACATCTTGATTCAATAAGGTGGAAAAGCTGTTCATGTCAGAGAGGTTCCTTTGTTTCACTGCATTTTATTTTAGTTTTATCATCGCTTAATGAAACACAAAGCAGCTTTATGCAACTCTTACCTGCCCCCTTCACATTTTCAAAGTGTCCAATTCGCCCCCCCCCCACATCTACTTAGCTTAGTGTGTCAATCTTGCTTTACCTGACAGGTCTAATGAAAGAACACCGTCATGCGTTCGAGCCCACACCTGCATATCTGAACGTGACTGCTTCCTCTTCAAATAATCAAGTTTAGCATTTCAAAGCAGGGACACATGCAATCTGCTGCTCAAATCCGTTAACTGTGAGAGTGCAACGCAACACAACCTAAAGCATGCTGGGATTAGCATGGATTTTGCCAAGCTTTATTTTACTGTACTTTTCAAATGTTGATGCCTTATACATGTACATAGTTTGAGATTCTACCTAAAACCAGGAAAGGGTGTTGTATTAAATCACAAAAAGACTGATTAGTAGGGAAGATGGAGACAACATGTTGAACATGTACGTCCCGCTCAGCAGGGGTCACTGTGGTGCACTTGGAGGGCAGCAGCCCCAGCTGGGTCGCTGCAGTGTCCTGACTGACACCCGCAGGCCACACCGATGCCGTGCCTTCACAAAAACGTCAGGTAACCACTTTATTTCTGTCGGGAAAACATATCTAGATGCTCCTTTTACTTTTTTTAAAGGAAAAAGACGCAGCCCTAAAACTTCAGGAAGTCAGTCTGGCGGCCGCGAGCACAGACTGGAAAGGCGAGTGGTTGGGGAGCTCTTGGCGGATCGCTGGGAAACAGCGGTGCAGTCGGGGGGGGGGGCAGCCAGCAGCAGCCAGGGAGATTGATCAGTGTTAACGAGGGTGGATGTAGGAGTTTAACCTCTGGATCTGGGAAGAGAAGAAACAGGTAGGAGGCTCAACAGCAAGTGAGCGCTGGCTTGCAATACCTTTCGGGGAATTTAAAAACAAAATCCTGCGGAAGGACAAAATCCGCTGAATAAATAATTCCAGACAGACTGTAAAATAGCTGAGTTCTTTGACGGTTAACAGAAAACGAGGACGGTCAGACTATCTTCCAAAGAGATTAATTACTGAAAGCACGGAAAATGAAAAACCTTGGATTGACAAACAGCAGGCACATAAACAGCCTTCCAACATTATGTGAAATGAATGCTTTCTGAATCAAACTTTTTTTTTACTGCATTGCTTTTAAAACAAAAAAAGAAGTATTGCTTTTAGTTTAACTTGGCACAGGTTTCCTTAGTTTTTCAGTAACTGAAGACATTTAGTCAGAAATCAGATGAAAGAAAAAACTTTGGAAATGTAGCTACCAGTCTAGGTGGTGTTAAACCGCTAAAGCTGATGAGAAGATTGCTTTCTTATATTAGTAATTATTTGGGGAAAAAAAACAATCACTAGCTAAAAATACATATATACGGCCTTGGCTCTTCCCTCAGGCCAGTAATGCATAATTGAAACAATCAAGTTGTCGGAGAGCAGAGCTCTAATGAAAATCGACCACAGGGCCAGTCTCCCGGTCATTTCTTCCAGATCAGGTACACCTGGGCTGTTGAACTGCAATGCACACCTCAACCGCCCCTAAGGGTTAAGTTCAAAGAGTATCAAGCAGGCCAGAGACAGAATACTCGTTACCGAAGTCTCACACTCTGCCCTATCGCTTAATAGAAACAGCACCTGAATACAAATGGCGCAGGAGAGAGATAATCCCCCTCTCCATAAATTCATCTGTCCTCGCCTCCTCCTGCGCCAAACAAACAGATGGGGGGAAAGGAAAAGAGGGCCTTCATTAGTAAAAGGAGGAGCTCTGCCGCCTTGTTTCTCTCTGCGGGAGGAAGGCGGTGGGGTGGGGGGCTTGGCGAGAAAGGGGATACGCTTTCACTCATCAATCACAAATATTACACATCAATTTGTCGGCATGCTGCGCTTTCTATCCCTCAACATCTCGGAGGTCGCACCGAGCAGCAATTTCCAGCACATTTGGAATGTAATGGCCCTCTCCAAGCCGGCACAATTAACCTCTTTATTACCCAGCTGCTGACGGGCTGGGAAGACGGATAATTGTCTTGCAGATCTCTGCTCCTCTGAGGGTTTGGGAAAAGGGTGCAATGCAATTCTCTCACCTGCAGGTCCACGGATCGACTTCATGTAGTCGTCTCATCCGTAACTGCAAACCCTCTCCCATCGAGAGAACAGGAATTCCTAAGGCACACGTGGATCTCCCTACCTCTGTTAGACAAATTCCAGTTTCTTTTAGAACAGCATCGTTTGAAACAATGTGCAAGAGAAACAGCAGGCATTTGCCTTTCTCATAGTGTTAATCTTCTTTTGTACGGGCAGTTCACTTATTTACAGCAGTATGGTATGGCACTTAAGACTGCAGTAAATCTTTTTCTCCGTTACAGATGCTGGCAAGCACAGAAGACAAAGAATATGACATTATACAAAACAAATTATATAAGGCTTTTCCCAATACCCAGTAACCTAAAAAATACCTATGTAAAAGTGTGGCATTTCACACTCGGAAGAGTCCCCAGATTAGGAAAGTAAGTCTGTGTCAAAGGTGCAGTGGGAGTTGCAGAGTTTTTGGATGACTAAGGTCATGCGATTCTCTCCCCTCTCATTTCTCAGACTCAGAGTTCGCATTTTACGCCAAGCGAGGTGGCTGCCAAGCGTGCAGAGCCGATTCAAACAAGCAAGAGCACGCAGGGACCAGTCTCATTTTCACATCATCCTGCCAGTCTGCAGCTCTCTCCAGGGGGAGAGAGGGAGTACAGAAGACGGTTATTAGAATGAACTCTCCAGGGTTAAGCTCAGTGGATTGGCACAGCGCACACACAAAAAACTAGCTTGCTGTGCAATTTTCAATCTGTAAAAGAAGTTTTTTGGATTCCTTCCATTACTTCAAGATAGTCACAAAGGACTCTAAAAAGGAAAATGTTTCTGACCTTAGACAGCGAGGCTAGAAGTCAGGAATCCTGGAACCACATTCTGCACTGTGTACTGAGTCTAACCGTTTTCTTAAAACGTATCAGTAATGACTTGTTGGACCCACCCGTCTGGAATAGCCAACTGCTGGTCTTACTTGCAGCTGTGACTGCACACAGGGGAGGATGTGGGATTGCAAGCACACTCCTGTGACACACCCACCTTCAAGCCACTCGTCCACATGCCACAGGCTGCCCAGTCCGGCACCCGCTGCAGGACACAGGTGGCCACAGGGGTCACTGTGAGCCAGGAGAGCCTCAAACGACTCATCCCACCCTACCCTTGTGCAAGCTTGGTCATTCAGCTGGCCAGACAACCCAGGCTCGAACCTGTGCTCACAGAGCTCAACCCGTGTGTGAGTGAGCACCTTTACCAGGTGACACAACCAAGAGAACTCAGTCAAAAGGTTTTCAAGCAACCAACACATTTTCAACAGACGGCCAACCTCATCATGTTTGACTGATGTGAAAGCTGTTCACTGCTTTAACTGTGACATGGGGACAAGGCGCTTCTTTCAAAACTCATGGGTCCTGGCTCAGTTCTAGACTGGGGCGGCTGCTAAGCACAGTCTACAAGAATTCCTTGTGAACACTCGCAGCCTGATGGTAAATGAAATATTCCACATGACAGCCCAATGTATTCCAATCCCCCCCCTTTCATTGTAAAGCTGAGCCCATTAACACTGCAAACACCTAAAGGTAGAGCATTAGTTTAGCTGGGGCTGTCTGAGCTATACCGAAATTGCTTTGTAAATCAAAACTGTATTCCCCAAATACTCCAACAGCTAGCTGAACTCCAGGCTAAAATACTGGCCTCAAAAGCTTGTAAGCCCTCTCCTTAACAAAACCAAAACAAGGTCAAAACTATGCTGTAGGTTGGGGAATATTCTTCTAGTTGTATAAATCTTGAGGAAGTCAGCCAGCATTTGATGTTTTTCCAGTCAACATTAACTACAGTCAAACAATAACTCAAGTGGTACCTAATCCTTTCTGACAAGACACCCATCACGTCAAGGAGAAGAATCCCATCAGAAAATCTTTGCATAAGACAAAGAACGCTATTAACACAAGTATTCATTCTTCCATTCAACAGTAGATTTTTATGGGAGTAGGGACCTTCCAGAGAAGGGTACAGACTTCAAAAAGTAAGTGGAGGTTTTTGCAGGAGGTAAATCCATTTCTGCTGCCGTCTACATCATAGATTAGCACAGCCAGAGCACACATACATAGCATGCTGGACTCTGATACCTCCTTTCTCCTTCATTTGATTCATATGGGTAGGGATATGAACCTATAACTTCTCAGACAGGCAGGAAAGTCTAGAGAGCACATGACCCATGAGCACTTGAATCAGACCCTGGTTCTTCACAGAGATACCCCTCCAAAATGCGGGTCCCTCCAACTCTTAACAGGCAGGACTGGAGCATGTGAGGTTAAGCGCCCTTCCTCAAAGTACCACAGCAGCGTCCGCAGTGGGGACAAAACCACAAAGAGCCCAAAGGCTTCTCCACACTGCGGTGCTGCCCTTCGATACCGTTCACGAGGCGGCGTGTTTATTTCAGGTCCAGCACTGGCGCCTCTCCCCTCCCAACCCAGCGGCTCTTACCTGCGACAGCGAGGCGCGCCGTCCGGCTGCTGATGGTGCCCAGGCTGTCCACGGAGGCCACGCACTGGTACACGCCCTCGTCCGGCTTGTTGTGCTTCGAGTGCACGACGCTGCCGACCAGCAGGGAGCCGTCGGGCAGCAGCTGGCGCCGGTCGTCGGAGGCCAGGTTGAGGAACGTCCCGTCCTTCTTCCACTCCAGCCGCACCGGGCCGTCGCTCTGGGCCGAGCAGTTGAGCAGGGCCGGGGAGCCGCGCACCGCCAGCGTGTCCGAGGGCTCCTCGGAGAACCAGAAGGGGGTGAAGTGCCTCGCGCCGGAGTCTGGTGGGGGGGGACGGGAGGAGAGAGAACAGGTCAGCCTCGCTGGACCAGACGAGACGCAGCCCAGCCGGACCGGACCTCAGAGGAACCAGGCACAATTGTCAACCGGCAGTCACACCTGAACACCTTCCTCACTTCCTCCAAGCTCTGAAGAACCTCCTGAAACGGGTGCAGGCTAGAGCCCGGGTTCTAGCTCAGAGCTCAAGCGCTAGACTTAATACGCTTCTCCAAAGAAGGACACAATAATTCCAGTTCATTGTGCCACAGCTCATCTCATTTTAAACACTGAAAGTCTAACAAAACTGAGCTGGCTAACAAAAAAAAATTAATTAACATCGGCCTTATAGTGATGCGACAGGGACAAAGCAAGAAAAGCCAGCAGTGAAACTAGCACTGTGAATTGTTTGGGCCACTTTTGCGTCCTGTGCTTAGCACAGATCCACTACAGAGCTACACAACCCATGAACCCCTGGGATGGCAGCAGGACCCCTGAGGGCGAGACTGCTGTGGAGCAGGAAGATCTCACCTGCCACTGGGCTCAAGAGACAAATTACCAGGAAGTCTAGAAATTTAAATCAAGAACTTTACCTCTAGCTATGAAGACCAGATCAAAACAAAAGTAAACATACATCCAAAAACGTACTGTTAGGTTCCAAAGCTTATGTTACATTTACAAGTATCCAGATAAAACAGATATCACTGTACTACAAAGTGCAGGGTGCTAGGAGTATCTTATAGAGAATTATAACTGATAACTCAGATATCAATTATAATGCAACTTGATGTAATGAGATCAAGGATTGATGTGTAAAGGTACGGTTTATTGAAAAATTATTTTTTTTTAGATTAGGAAAACCCAACAGGAATGTCAGCAGCACAAACTGATATGGTAGACATGGCTAACGATCGCTTTCTCACTCAGTTTGTCAGAAAACCCACCAGAGGCAAGACCTGTATTGATCTGGTGCTTTCAAACAATTCAGGACAGAATGAGGAAAACAGGTGAGGGGCCCATTATTATCGAGATCATAATATAGCACTCTTTTAAGCATATTTTGAAATTGCTCCAACAAGGATCTGCTATTTCAGGAAAATGGACTATGAAGGAATGAGACAGTTCAAAAGGGCAGCAGAATGCACCTGAATAGATCTGGAATTGGTCAGAACAGTATGGCAACAGGCTAAAAAAAAAATAGATAGAAGTACAGGTGATAAAAGGGTAACAGAAATAAGAAAGAGGTAGAAATAAGCATTTGCAATGTAGGCTAAAACATTTTTTTCAGTCTTAGAACAGCAAAATAACCTTCAAGTTCTTCAACAGTAAATTAAAAAAAACTGCAAGTGGGATATATTAAAGGTAATATGTGGACTTGCATTAAGAACTGGTTAACGCGCTGGAGACAGATGGCGCAATTAAGGGGTGAATGCTCAAACTGGGATGAGGTAAGTAGTGGAATACCAAAGGGATCTTTATTAGGACCACTAATCTTCATGATTGAGATCATTTATACCATTATAATCTAGATTTTGGTATAGTTAGTTCACAGATGAAAACAGGACGGTAAGCAAACTCTGTCAAAGGTGTAAAAGACATTAGACCAAAGGACAGGCAGACATCATTCAGACAAGTGTACAGTGTTGCACAAAGGCAATCCAAAACTATAAATATGAATTTGGAAACGGAAATTGAAGATGCTACTTATGAGAAAGACGAAGGTAGTTAGGTATACATTTTCCTCTTCTAGATGCTGCGTGGAGACAATAACGTAAGGTAAACAACGCTGGGATACGGCTAAAAGCTAAGAATTTAAATCAAGGGATTTTATGCTAAAATCCAACAATGTATCAGTTAGACTGCAACCAGAATATTGCAATTTTTAACACTTGCTGCTGAACACTTCTAAGTCTCATCTCTACCCTAGACAGGCCTGCCACAGGCACCTGTATTAGTGGAGTAAGGACCACAGACAAACATTCATTTTCCTAAATAGATCTTATCTAAGCAGATAGCAGCATGAAGAGCAGAACTCAAAACTGGTCAACTAAAAGCCCAGCAAGCAACTGTACAGCACCCTTTCAACCACAGGGGCTGCATGATCAAAAGGCAGAGTCGAGAGTCACAAGCTGTCTGCCAGCAAAACTAAAGGCACAAGCAATCCAGGAGGCTACCAGTGTCCTTCAGTTTTCGCAACTCCTTTGCTCCAAGCTTCATAGGAACTCTGCAATATTGAAAGCGTTTTTAGCATTACTTCGGTACTCCTTCTCGAAAGCCACAGCTTTTCGGAGAGAAAGTGCAAGAAAAACATCTTCAAATCTTCACGACAGTATTCTACCATTAAGGACCTCTACCAAAACACTAAAGGACTGGCCCGAAAAAAAACCACTCATACAATCGGCAACAGTCACCGTGCCCTGTAGCACTTCACAGCATCACACTTCCCCAAGATCCCCCGGTCCTGTTCCCCCGCAAGGTTTGTGCTGATGTGGGTAAATCGTGTTCTGTCACTTCTGTCACTCTCCGCGGAGACGCTGCTGGGGTGTCAGGCATGCTGTTGAACCAGAGGTCCGAACGCTCAGCTGCCGCAGGCTGGCTGTCTACCTGACCTGGACAGATCAGCGGAGACTGCCGGCTCACAACACTGCGGTAAAAAGCTATAAAACACGCTTGTGTCGGCTCTGGCGCACTATGTAGACTTCGGCCCTCTGGTGAAAGATAATGTGACTTATTGGGGAATGTTAAGCTGGCTTTAGCTTGCCTTGGATACAGCCTTTACTCTGTAGACATTTCCTTTCAATACACTAAAGCAATGTGGATATGACAGATGGGAGATCGTGTTTCTCCAGTTTACAGAGCAAGCATCTCACCGGCTCTTCCACTCCATTGGAGCTTGAAGGCAACAAGAACTTCATTCATTAAGAGTATTTCTGTCATAAACCCATCAAACGCAGTAATATAAACTCAACGTTGAAGGCTGAGGCATTCAATAATATTCTTATTCTGCGTGTTAAACAAGTAAATAACACAGGAAAGGCTTGATGCTGTTATCTTTAAGCAGACTCCAAAAACTCTTGTAGTCATTTGCAACCGAATCAATAATGGCTTTGTCTTTGTAATCCGCACTGTCAGTCGGCAGGAAAATCTGAAATGCATATAGTCTGAAACCTCTGTATCTTTAAGCAGCTTTGGTAGAACAGAGGTACTCTTCAAAGGTAGCTGTAAGGGATTTCTCATTTCCGGTAGGCTATCAGGAAAGCTACATTTTTAATCATTACCATCTTTAGCAGCTCTCCAGCACAGGCATCAGGGAACAAGGTGCAGAGGTGCAGAGCTGCTGATTAGACAGCAGCCAAAATGTTGGGCCATCTGCTTTACTAATATTTAACATCCCACACCACCAGTGCACTGCAGCATGTCCAAGGACCAGGCTCCACATTACTGACCACCTTTCTGCAGGTCAAGCTGATGGCCTTTCCAGAAACAACACTACACAGATTCCACAGGAGAGCAGAGGATGCAGACTCAAATTGCAAATTAACAAAATTACAGTCCACCTGGAATTAATGCACAGATATGGACCACAAGCTGAAAAGCTCTGGCGTAGACCACTCTTAACTAAAAAACATCTACTGTAAAGATAACTTGGGATTGAATGAAATTTGTACAGTACAAAGCTCTGAAGCCCACTGGTGATTTACTGTGTTAATGGAACTTATATATTACTGGAAGCTAATGGAAAATAAACCAAGGACAAAATTTAACATAGAACCACTAGTAACACTTTCCAAATGCTGAAACAAGCAACAGTTGGGGAAAAAAAGGTGATAAAACTGTGGTTCAGAAGAAACTTTTTTAAATTTGTTCTCCTTTCGATATGTGTGCTCTGTGCGAGTCTGGTTATTGGCTCTTTCATCTACATTCTCAAGAAAAAAACTGCACCTTTCTGTCGTTGGGTGGTGAGGATGGAGAAAGTAGGTATTTTGTTATGGCCTAAAGTAAGTGAATTATTTATCAGGGTCTAAACTTTCCAGAGGTTAAGAGTCAGATTGTCAAATACAAGTCTAGGCAATTAACACAAATATAGAGGTAAAAAGCAAATGTGACACTAATTACTTTTTGTGATTTCGCTTTTTATTTTAGAGATAGACCAGAAATAAGTTTCAACACAAGATCGCAAAGTTTCATGTGTTTATAAGACTGAAGGAAACTTTTTTTTTTATTCTCTAAACATTCTCTATAAAGCCTACATTTCTTCTGTCATTACAGGAACAAGACTATGATTAAATGCTTTAGGAGTGTAGAAGTATGCACATTTAAAAAGGGAACGGTTGTGTAGGCGCATACAGAAAAACATAAATACAAAACATGGCCACCAATGTAAGAAGCACCGAGTGTTAATGTTTTACTCCCATCCCTTTGACAGAAGGAATATGTCCTTTGACTGGCTTTAACATTTCCCACTGTGTGCTAGTTTGCCCAGACACACTAGATTCTTTGGTCAATTTTTCTCCTGCTGGGACACACTAATTATACACTCATCATTTTTTTTAGAGCAGAGGATGTTTAAAAAAAAATTATGCAACCACGTTTACATGGTATAATACATAGCTCCTCTAAAATGTAACTATAGTAATTTCACTATTTGTAGTAAAGTAGTTGCGTAACTCCAATGTTTAAAAGTGTAATTTTTACTTCCAATGAAAGTAGAAGAAACAATTGTGTGTGAAGAGTTTACTCATGCCTGAAAGATCACAGATCCTTTCTGTGCAACTCGTATTTCCTATCCTGCTACAGACAGTTAAGTATTTGTTTTAGAATGGTTTCACACATGAGAAAAATGGAAGACATAAAAGCTAAATTGCCTTTAAATAAATGGGGTTAGGTTAGTCCACAGATGCAAAAGCACTTAGCAGAACAGAAGGTGGACCAACTATCTTAAAGGATTAAAACTGCAGAGGTCTAACATATTGCACTTAGATTCGGCTGAAGGTTAGCCTTAAAT